GACTACAATGGAGGCGTTTCAGGGAGTTCAGAAACACTAGCCGCGTTTCCATTACAGATTTGCGCAAAACTTTTGCGAAATGTCGATAAAAAACGATTGTGAAATGATGGTGTTTCCATTAAACGATGTTATGTGGCTAATGCATAATTTTTTCCTCTCGCGATAAGTCATTTAAAAAAATCATTTTTGATAGTTTTATGTATATCGCAGCCATCGCACTAGGGGTGGGCGATATGAGCAAAAATTCATATCACGATATTTTTCACTGTCCGGACGATATCGATATTATATCGCGATATGAGAAAAAAAATTGGAATCACATTTTAGTACACCTTAGTTAAATTACAGGCAAAATATGTATTTTAACAGTAGATAACTAGAAACAGGTGAGGCATTTCATTGGACATAGACCTGAAATGTTTTTTTTGTTTGTTTTTTGCCTTTTTTTTTCTCAAAAAGTGCAACCGTGCAACATGAGGTAGGCCTGAATGCACTTGTTATGTCTTTCCACTTTTTGCTCGTCTTGTCATAATGAGAACCGGCAGCGAATGAAGACTTTATTGATTTCTGAGTGAGAGCCGTCTTCGGGTGTGCTCTGTCTCCGGGAATATCTGTTGTTATAGTTTTTCTTTTTTAAATTAGTTTTTATTTTAATATCGTTTTCAATTTTGCTTTAAATTTCAGTTTAGTTTTAGCTAGTTTCATTAATGGTTTTGTAAGTTTTTATTTAGTTTTATTTTGCAAACACATTTCTATATAGTTTTTATTTTATTTAGTTTCAGCTTTAGTAATTATAGTTTAGCTTTAGCAGAGCGAGCAGAACACTCCCAGTGTAGACCAAAGCGAGACGTTTAATTTAAGTTTAATGTTTGCACAGATTACAGTTAACTCTTGTGCAGACATCTTAATAATAAAAATAAAATAATGGTTTGAGATTAAACAAAGCACCAAATAAATAGAACTTAAAAGTATAAGAAACTATAAAAGTAAGAAAAAAACAATGAAAATTTTCATACAAACAAATTCATTAGTGTAAGGAGACAAAATAAAGGCCTACAGTTTGTACAGTATAAAACCCATTACGTCTATGGAGAGTCCCCACAAAGATAGTGGACCAGTGTGTGTATGCGCGCGCTTATGTGTGTGTCGTGTGTATGCGCGCGCTCATGTGTGTGCCGTGTGTATGCGGGCGCTTATGTGTGTGTTGTGTCCTGTTATTCATAGCCTAACGTTACATTGCGGGGAAATGTCTCCACGTGGATAATATTATTAGCAGTAAATGTTTTGTAAAAACAAAGATAATAACAGCAGCTTTCAGCCTTTCAACCTTCATGAAAACATGACATCTCAAACATACAGTACTTTAACGTTTAAACTTTAACGTTTGTTTGTGCTTGACGAACTTGTTTTGGTGTTGCACCCGCGTCTCGCAAATGGAACGGCATTCTAAAAATGCTGCGCTCAAGTTAAAAGTCAAACTTGCGTCTCATTACCTTGTTATTTCCCATTCCACCGCAAAAGATGCATCCTTTATGAACAGCCGCCTAGCACTAGCGATGTGTTCTACGTTACGGTCCTTATTGAACGCGTCACAGGACAGCGGTTAATCGCCTCAGCAACTTCACGCGTATGAAGCGCCAAATCAGCCATTTCCTTAAACAGCGTATTCGATTCTGTATCGTCATTAGTGTTAACAGTTGTAAAGAGTTGGCTACCAAATTGAACAAAACAATATAACTGCAAAATTTGAATTTTATGAATACGGTATCCTCGGTATCGCAAAATCCATATCATGGCACAACATAATACCGGTATTCACGTTCATACCGGTATAGCGCCCACCCCTACATCGCACTAGCCATTATTTTTAATCGAATTATATGTAGCCGTTTTATCCAAGCACTAATGACAAGGAAAGCCCCTTATACTTGTGAGCAGCACATATGAAGTGCTATCTGCTTTAAGGTCTTTATTGTGGGATTTCTTTGTTATTTAGAGTCCAGTATTCCCATAATACTTTTGTCTTTTATGAGTTTAATGAAGAACTCTGTCTCGTCTTCTGCGCCATCTACGTCAGGTGACCTATAAATGCGCCAAAAATGTTTCCATTGCAGCTTTGCGAAATATTCCTATTTCGAACTGCCTGAAAATCAACCTCATATGAGCGCAAAAACTTTTTATTTTTTTGCGAAATATTAGCCTGGGAAAACCCAGACAACTTCCGGCAAATTTAGATTTGCTCTGAAAGTTAGTCTGGCAAAGAGCTCATTCAAGCCCATTTCCAATCCGCCGAAATCGCGGCACCAATCAGAAACGTTGGGGCGGGCTTTACACGATGACGACAGCGCTGGGATTTTGAAGCAGATTTTGTAGCCTACATTACAAAGATGGATGCCGCCGTCGAACATCACTCGTTCCAATCAGCTATCGCGTCTGTTTTAAGCGATTTGAACGTTTCCTTTGTGTTAAAAACCGAGCAAAGAACAACACTCGGAGAAGTTTCTCCGCCGCTCTGCATACGTCATCTCCTTCATCGCTCTGATTGGTTTAGGTCTATCCGCGACGTTCGTTGGTGACGCCCCTCTGGAAATGATTTGTCTATGACGCTTTGCCAGACCATAACTCAGTTACAACTGAGAATGGTCTGGTTTTAACCAGGCTAGCGATATATGGGAGTTTTTGTGAAATTGATGTGTTTCCATTGTGCGTAACTCGCAATTTCAATTTTCGCAATTTGAAGGGTAATTGAAATGCGGCCAGATATAGAGAAGAACTCCTGCTGGAGAGATTTTGTGCTTTTCAGAGCTTTTTATAATGCTCAGACAGCAACATTACACTCTAAATAAAAATGAACATGTAAAATAAGGCCAGAATCATGAATGAAGGCCTACACATTCCTTCACCTATCGCAACGATTAAGTCCAGATTGCTGGAGTGCAGCCAGAGAGAGAGAGAGAGAGAGAGAGAGAGAGAGAGAGAGAGAGAGAGAGAGAGTCCTGATAGCATCTCTCTTCAGCTCCAGTGTGTCTGTGGTAATTACAGAGAAACACACTACAGCACATGTCAACACTCACTCAGATACACAACTGTTCCCAGAACACACTCTTCTACCAACACGCATGCTCTCTGAAATCTGGTGTATTCCTGCACTGCTTGGAAAGGGCAGCGTTTGACGTTCAGATGTTCGATTTTCTGCTGTAATATTTATTCACACTCCAGCCGGGCGAGTGCAGCACTTTGAGGTGGAGCTGTGTGTGTGTGTGTGTGTGTGTGCGTGTGTGCGTTGTCTGTATTTATCCGTCCATTCCCTTTAGAAATCACTAATGAGATCTCTATCATTTCTCCTACACAGCATGCAAGACTTTTACTCAACTGATTTATTTGAAGAAAAAGACTCGTACGTGTCTCTAGAAATCTCAACAGTGTCTCAAACTGCTTGTGTTTGTCAAGATACTAAAGTATGCGATCAAAAGATCATAATTTCTCATCAAAACTAAATGACCTGAGCAATGCTAATCATATTTATTTATTGACTTTGCTTTAATTGTGTGTCTTTTTTATTCCTCTTAAGGATTTTTAGACTGTAAAATGTTGGTGGAATGTTTCAGGCAATATAAAATGTATTTTTTATTCTGTGCTAAATAAAATTAATTTCTTGTTGCTAAATCAAATTTTTCACTGTAGTTGGTAAGTCAAATTTAAGGTAACAATTAACATAACATTTTTATATTCTATTTTATTTATTTTAGATTTATTTTATTTTATCGAGGAGTCCTATTCATTTACTGTAAAGTATCAAATGGACTGACAATTTCCAATGTTTCCAGATATTTTATTTTATATTGTCTTATTTTTTATTGTATTCTATTTTTAAAAATATTTTATTTTATCGATGAGTCCTATTCATTTACTGTAAAGTATCACATCTGAAAACATTGGAAATTGTCAGTCCATATTTTATTTTATTTATTTTATGTTATTATTTATCGAGGATTCCTGTGAATTTTTTTAAAGTATCACATGGACTGACAATTTCCATTGTTTCCAGATATTTTATTTTTATATTTTATTTATCGAGGAGTCCTATTAATTTACTATCACATCTGAAAACATTGGAAATTGTCAGTCCATATTTTTTGTTGTATTATATTATTTCATTTAATTTCAAAACCGTTTTCCTGTGGGTCATTACTTCAGTTACATATATTTTATCTCTGCTTCGAATTCTCTGTTATGTTCCTAAAGGATATTATATGGGACCTTGAAAAATAGAGATCATTAGTTTAATCGAATGTTTTATTGTGAGTCATTTCATTGACTGAGTAAATGATCTCTGTTCAATGATCTTTGACAGGAAGTATAGGCTGTTGTCCCCTTTATGAACGGAGACTGTGATTGTGTTTGTCAACAGTGTGTGTGTGTGTGTGTGTGCCATCTGTTCGTGTCTGCTACTCTCACTGTGAAACTAATTACGAGAATTTACACATACCCACAATAACCAGAGCCACCACATCAGAACCTGACCAAAGCTTCATATATGTGTACATATCAGTGCGTGTGTGTGTGTGTGTGGTTGGTTTTTGCATATTTTATGTGTGTGAGATGAATTACCCTTGTTTACACCTCTCCTTCCTCAAGTTCTCCATCAGAGAAAGCAGGAGAGACACTGGAAGAGTCAATATTGTCTCTGCAAACTTCAGTGAATCCACACAGCTGAAGTCTGACATCACAGTTTCAGTATTTCACACTGTAACACAATGGTCTGTGTTTGTATGTTTGCTGAGCTATGCTTTGGAGGTTAAATTTGCTCTAGAATATGAAAAAAAAAATATTCCTATTTTTTCCCCCAAAAATTTTCTTCAATGTTTGAGTTAGTCTCTAAACTAATAAATTTGCTGAAGGGTTTACTTCAAAAAATGTTTTTATTAAAAATGGCTAGTAAATGAAGTACCTGTGCATTCTGACCATATCCATAACTATCTGTTTTTCCCCCTCTCTAGGTAACTATGGTGAGAGTGGGATGGAGGCGTTTAAAGAGATGGCGGGAAAGGAAGGGATTTGTATCGCTCACTCGGATAAAATTTGGAGTAACGCCGGCGAGCAGAACTTCGACCGTCTGCTGGCGAAACTGCGCAAGTACCTTCCCAAAGCTCGTGTGGTGGCGTGTTTCTGTGAGGGCATGACCGTACGAAACATCCTCATGGCCATGAGGCGCCAGAACCTCGTTGGAGAGTTCCTATTGGTCGGCAGGTCAGTGGATGATGAGTGGATGCGGGAAAACACGGAGAAATGAGTGCGATTTTATGAAGAGATTAAATTTGTAATGCATGCATTCATTCTTCATGCATTCTGTTTTTATCAAGACTTGAATATTGGTAATTCTCATAAAAAGCAACATTTTGAACAAAAAAGAGAGCAATGTGCATAAGCAATGCTTCTATCACTTGTTTCTGCTCCTTTTTGCCTGTGTTTTGATCGGGAGATTCAGCACTCCTTCAGAAGTTGCGTAATAGCGCCCCCTACCGTATAACATTGAAAACACGGAAAGCCGGAAAATTGCGTCAATGGCGGTGAAAGTGTTAAGATGTGTTTTGGTCGATCGATCACAAATAGACGAGGGAAACACATTCCAGTTTACACGTGGTGTTTTAATCCGTCACTTTTGTCCACTTTCAACCACTTGTGTCCTGGTTTCTTCGAGGGGCGGGCAAATATATGGGTTTCTTCAGATCTTTCGATCTATTGGACGAAATGAGCTCGTTCAATTTACATATGAACACGACCGGAGACGACGGAAAAACACACAGAGAACATCAGCTTTAGTTTCTGCTCTGACAGACGCAAGATCAGCCGAACGCTGTGAGTGTGTGTTAGAAATCAGGAATGGTGAGAGAACATTGTGTTTGGTACGGTTTTCATCTTTAAACCAAACCTGGGTCTTCAGCCGACAAAGTTTATGGGCCCTATTTCAACAATCTAAGCGCATGGTCTAAAAGGGTTGTCCCTATTGTCTTAATGAGTAATGGGTGTGTTTTGGGCGTAACGTGCAAGTTGAGTCTCCTCTCCCATTCACTTTAAGGCGAGACACTACAGGCAAAAAGTGTTATTTCATGCATCTGTCAATTTTGAGATTTTTGGGCTTTTCATAAAGTGTTTTTTCAGACTAGTGGACAGAAAACATCCACAAAAAAAAATTCAGCAACTGAAATAGACCTGAAACCTGGTCTAAAGTCAATGTCTCAGTCTATTTCAGTTCCTCAAAATAGCAACGCGCCTGAACACACCTCGTCTTCAGACCAGCCGCCCATGGGCGCACAGATGGGCACAAATGCATTTGTTATTTAAACAACGTGGCTTTACTGGTTAGAACTATATTCGTTGGCAAAATAGAGGAAAAACTGACAATATTGTGTCTAAAATGTAAGTCCATTAACTTGTTGTTTATTGAATTGTTGTATAAAATCAATATCACATTTCCAAACATTGATATTCGGGAACACGGCAGTTTTGCACGTGTGATATTGCTTATAAATATTAAAAAACAAGAACTTATAGAGACTTTTTTTTGCACCATATCTTGATTTTTGAAAGCATTTTATTTATTTTGCTGGAATTTTTGCTTCAAGGCTGTTTGAACGCATTCGACCACATCAGCGTTTACATCATGAAAGCAATCCGGTCGAATGTGTTTTCGACTACCTCTGGAAGTGGTGGAAAAGCTTTAAACGTTTTAGACCTGTTTACACCTGTATTAAGCGTCATCCACTTGTGATCCGATCGACGAAATCACATCTTAATACCAGCTGTAAACAAGGCCATGGTGATCGTTATTATTTTTGATTTGCAGTGCACACAAACACACACACACGTTTAACAAACTTATATGTATAAGTTTTTCTTTTCACTTTTATTGCACTTTTTTGACATATTTCTTATTTCATTACTCATGTTTTGAGCTCCAAAACAACAAAAAAACACCACAGAAGTGTCATAAAAGTAGTATTTCAGTGTTCTATATTGAGTTTTTCTGTGAATAACAATTAAAGCTTTCTGTTAATATAGTGAAACAAACATTTGCGTGTGTGAGAGTATCTCTGTGTGTTTGACTCTTTCAGCATCAGCTACTCAGTCCAGATGAGAAACTACAGGAAGTTACGTTCATCATAATCCATCATCATCATTGTCATCTTCATAACCATCATCATAATCATCATCATTGCATTATCTTCAGGTAAAATGTGTTTCCTAATCTAGTCTCCTCTCTTTTACTCAGTTATTACTGCGTTTACTGCTTTAGTCTCAGGTCACATGGTCTAAAGAACCACAACAAGAGCTGACTGATGACCACACAACAGCACAGAAATTAAAGTGGTCCGCAGAACATGTGCACTCGCTTTCTGTGAGGAACAGACTGAAATTTAACTCATTTTTCATAGGAAATCTTTCTGCCTAAGTTCCGAAAATAATGACAGAATCTTGTTTTTTGGGTGATCTATTCCTTCATCTGTGTGCGTCTCATGCATGTGTGTGTGTGTGTGTGACTCATATTGTACCATATTTTGTCTAGGCTAAATACTGCTCATTTACACACGGAGAGACCATCTGACCACCATGTGAAGTGACCAAACACAGTTTGCATTTTTAATTTGTTGTTTGGGCCGGTAAATATAAAAATTTGACAAGCAGTAACTCACAAAACAGAAAGATAAAATAGAATATTGTGTTTGTTTTTCATGCTTCTGTCTAAAACTAATGCTATATTAGATTTTAAGATTGAAACTTTTCAATTTCAAGACATCATTTATTTATACCCACATGTCATTTCAAACCTAAATGATTTTATTTGTTCTAAAATAACATATATTGAAAAATGCCTCCAGTGTTGTTGTTTTTCCGTCCATACAATGAAAGTCCAATCTTGTTTTTGACCCAATTTACTTTTCAATTATTTGTCAGATGCTTTTATCTAAACCACCTTGAATTGCATTGATGGCATACATTTTTTTATTAGTTCATGAATCCATGCTCTACTATTTGAGCTACAGGAAAGCATATATTATGAAATACTTATTTATACTTATTATAGTGACAAAAACAGTTAATCGAAAATATACTCTTTCATAACATATAAAGTCATACAGGTTTGGAACAACATATCATAAATTATGATGTTTTTTTTATTTTGGGGTGAACTGTCTTAGCCCTAGCAACCACCCAGAACACCTTGACAACACCCTAGCAATCACCTAGAACACCTTAACAACACCCTAGCAATCACCTAGAACACCTTGACAACACCCTAGCAATCACCCAGAACACCTTGACAACACCCTAGCAATCACCTAGAACACCTTAACAACACCATAGGAACCACCCAGCACACCTTAGGAATGCCCTCGCAACCTTCCAGAACACGCTAGTAATGCCCTAGCAAGTCCCCAGAACACTCTAGCAACCAACCACACAGAACACCTTAACAATGCCCTAGCAACCACCCAAAACACCTTAGTAATGCTACCGTAAACAACCCAGAACACTTAAGCGATGCCATAGCAACCAATCATTAGCATCACCAAATTAAACATAGCATCTACTTTGATTTGGTCAATATAGGATTATATCAAATCTTGCCAAATCCTAGTTCTTCCAAAGAAACGTTCATTTTAGCATTGGGAACTTTGTTTCCCGGTGGAATGATATAAATCTGTGCTTCCCGACTCCTGGAAATTGCCTGAAGCCAGACGATCAGATAAGAGCTTGTCACCTGAGATGCTCTTGCCATGTTTTTGAGAAGTATAGGCATCGGCACAGGTCTCAGGTCAGACACACGACAGTCTAGAAACTGCAAGCAAATAGAGCAAACTTGATGATTATTAAAGGCCCTGACAGTGTTTATGATGCGTTTCCTGTCTGCCTCCCTCTCAGGCAGGATGGGATGTTTGCGCGGTGGTCTGTGTTCCATGCGGAGGAGCTGTCAAGTCTTCGTCATCCTCCTCTTCCTCCCGGCAGTGGCGAAAGTGTGAGAGGAATATTTAACAGCTGATAGAGACAGAGAGCAGAGAAATCAGGACGAAAGCCAGTGAAAGACAGAGCAGGCAGCAGAGATTTGTGCAAATTATCTAGGAAAACAAATGATTTATAACAGGAGGATTTTTCACCAACTGGCTTTTTATTTTTGAACTGTCATTTCAGAACAATTATTAATCAAATTAATTACATTTAATTGCATACATCATTATTCATTGTTAGTCTATGTTTACATGCGTTTAGAGTTGCGTCATCATGGCTCATGTTTTTTTTCTTTTTTTTTTCTTAAATGGTAAGAAAATCCTTTATAATGGAATCCTACATGGATTTTTTTTAGTTTTTTTTAATAATTAAAATAACAAGTTCAATTGGCATCCCCACTTTTAATTTCTAATATGGTTGTATTCTTAAAGGCAGACTTAAAAATGAAAAGTGTGCGTGTGTGTAAATGGCCCTCTGTTAGACTGATCTAAGGCAAGAGATGAAACACTGAGGATCAAAGCGTCTCAAAGCTCAAGGTCTGTCATTTCTGGAGCACACACGCGTACGACAGAACGAAACATCTGCTCAAAAATGCACACGCACTCACATATACATACCCACACATTTTTGGGATAGGCATATCTAGATACCAGAACATCACAAAGACGGTAGTTTAATAAGGAGGAAAAAGCTAGAAAGCACCAAGAACACCTTAGAAATGCCTTTGCAACCACCCAGACAGCTTAGTAACGCCCTAGAGACTACCTAGAACACCTTAGCAACGCCCTAGCAACCTCCCAAAACACCCTAGTAATGCCTTAGCAACCAAACAGAACACATTCTTTATTGTGAAGCTGTTTTGAAACAATCTGTATTGTATAAAGTGCTTTCAAAATAAATGTGACTTGACTTGGTAACACCCTAGCAACCCCCCAGAACACCTTAGCAACACCCTAGCATCCACAAAGAACACCTTAGTAATGCCTTGACACCAGAATACAAAAAAGTCTTGAGGGTAATTTACTAAGGAATAAGCTAGAAACCACCCAGAACACCTTAGAAATGCCTTAGCAACCACACAGAATACCTCAGTAACGTCATAGGGACTACCCAGAACACCTTAGCAATGCCCTAGCAACCAACCAGAACACATTCTTTACTGTGAAGCTGTTTTGAAACATTCTGTATTGTAAAAAGTGCTATACAAATAAATGTGACTTGACTTGGTAACACCCTACCAA